GAATGCGGTGTGGGGACAGGAGACGAGTTCCCCTTGAACCCCCACAATCATGAAGTCTGCATTCCAGCCCACTGGGCAGTAGATTGGCCAACAAACACACAAGATGAGCGTTTCAGAGAGGAATAAAGAACGAACAGGCGACTGTGAATCCTATTCGAGAAGGGAGCAAGGTGAGATGAGGGGTCAAGAAGGTGATGTCTGAGAGACCAGCAGCTGGCCAGATGCAAGCAAAAGCCCTGAGGCAGAAAACATGCCTAATTCCCCCGTGAGAGATGGCGGAGAGGCCATGGGACGAGAGCAGGGCAGGACAGAGAGAACAGGAAAGGGAAGAGGTGAGAGTGGAGCACAGAGCCTTTTGATTCTTGCTCCCCCAGGAGGCTGTTTCTTTAAGATGCCCGGTTCTGAGTGGTGTCTTTGAGACCCCGACTTAATAAGAGCTGAAATGGGACCCTGTGTCCTCTCAGGTTTTGGGGTCCTCTGATACTGTGTCAGTTAGGGAACCCTGGACGGCATTCCTCCCAGAGTCTCTCTCCGTTTTAACAGAGCCAGAAGGTGAAGTGTTGGAACATCTTGAAAAGGATGTTAAATATTCCATGGCAAGGTGGAACATTCCCTCCCTCCTCCTTGGTGTTTCCTGTCTGTCTGGTAGCATACATCCTATTTCTGTCTCACGGGAGGTGCCCTATACCAGAGAGGTGAAGCCGGTACTACTGGAGAAAAAGAACATGCTTCTGCTTCCAAGAGGTTGCAACTGCAACCCCATTGCATCATTCCTTGACCAACCATCATCCGCATCTCCCCCACAGCTCTGCTTCCGCCCCCTGTCACTGGCAGTGATGGACAGGGCAGGATTTCCATGCTAAGTCTCTGGCCCCAGTGCTGCCCAAGAGGCATCTGCCAGCTTCCCTTAAGCATGAGATAACCAGTCCCCCTAGACTCTCCAGCAGACAAGCCTTCGAGATCTTTTCACCCCAAGACCCATTCTATTCACCTTGTATTTACAAACTTCTGGCTCAGACTCGCAGGTTTTGTCTATCAATAGGTTGATGTTAGCGTAGATGGCTGTCTTGGTTTCCTGTACTGCACCCAGTCTTTGTCAAACATCCCAGTCATAGGTGGCTGCCACTCGAGGCTCTGGCGGGCAGCCCAGAATGAAGGTACTGCCCAAGGCATGGACTGGAGGACTTGCCCTCCATGCCCTCTGACCGGGACATGAAGTTAGTCCAGAACATCTCAGAAATTCCACTTTGTTTTTTTTTTTTTTGAGACGGATGTTCTCTCTTGCTATTGCACCTGCTCTTCCCTGTCCTCACTGAATGCTGCCGAGAACTTCCTGAGCAGCAGTAAGACAAACCTGCAGACTCAGGGAGCACACGATCTAATGCGAGAGATGACTAAACGCCAACAATAGATTATTAAGACCTCTAGTAAGAGGAGCAAGACAACTGGTATGTCCTAGAACAGGGGTTGGGAACCCCCAAGGCTTTTGCCATTCACCATCTCCTGCAGTCAGTGGTGAACTCCATCTATCCAGTTGATCAGGCTCCAACCCTTGGGGTCACCATAACCCCTTCTCCCTCTTACTTTGTTGCATTCCCACTCAACCCACAGCCATCAATACCTCCAATACCCATCACTTCCCTGGCTGCTCCGCGTGCCTTTGGCACTGCTGTCTGTCCCTGCCCTCTCCTATCCTCAGTCTAGTGGCCAACAGCCCATCCTCCGTTTGGCAGACTTCCCGTCTCGGTCTCGGAGAAGCTCGATGTCTCTTCCCACCACCTGCGAGGAGCCTGACTCTGGTCTCCCCTCTGCCCACTCCAGCCCTTGCTCGCTGTTCCCTGTCTCTCTGAACTTGCCTCTCTGAACTCTCTGGCCTAGGGCACAATTCTCTCTTCCTACAAACACTTGGATAGCAATGAGACCTGACTGTCAATAAGTCTCATCCAAAGCAGGAATAAACGGGGCAGTCTGAGCGAGTGAGGAATGTGGTTGGGTGGTCGCAGCCAGATGTATGCAGAGGTTGCAATCTCATCTCAAGGCTTTGATGAAGTTGGAGGACCGAGGGTCAGGGTGTCCCACAGTGGCTGCTGGCCAAAGGCTTCATTTCTTCGCACGGGCTTCTGACAGGGCTGCTGGGGTGGCTTCACACCACGGTGACTGACTTTTCAGAGGGGAGAGAGCAAGGTGGGAGTTGCCCTTTTCTGACGTAGTCTTAAAAAAAAAAATCACATGTTTTCTACAACATTCTGTGCATTAAAAAGTGCATCCCTAAACCCAACCAGTATTCACAGGAAGAGAAAAATTTGGTTCTGTCTGTTGCTGGCTGGAGTGTTAAAGAGTCTGCAGACACATTTTATGTCTCCCAAAGGTCAAGGTTAGTCCCAGATCCTCCAAATCTTCACACCCCTGCACTCTGCACAAAAAAACAGTTTCCTGATCCCTGAACCTGAGCTAGCCACCACCTCCTCCCCTCTCCTAGAACTACGTGCTGTTTTACTCTCATCATAATTTATCCACATCAAGTGAGCAATATTTTACCTTTACATGTTTACAAGCTGTATCTTTATGCTCTTATGTGTTTATCATCCACTCCTCCAACCTGAATGTAAATTTTGCCATCAATGTCTTGCTCCCCACACCTCCACATCTGGATCTGGCTCAGACGCGCCTTAGACCCTCAGGGAAGTGTGGGCAGAGGGCAACTTGCTTGCTGGGGATTGAGCAGGATTACAGGCTCTGAGGAGTCTGACAGCTGCCAGGACAGCATTCCACGGGGACAGATGAGCGGGGGCCAGGACGGAGCATGTGCAGAGGGCAGAGTTGTTTTGAGAAACAGGGCTGAGCACAATGCAAAGGAAGCCTGGGGCTGGTCGGGAGGAGACCAGGAAGGCCAGATGGGAATCGCAGTCCTGCCCGGCCTCGATGCTGTGAAGATGCACCGAGCAGCAGCAGCTGACACAGAAGGATGGGTTTTCCTCTCCTTCCTTCCTTCCGTATTGACCGGGCTTGGCTTGCTCCCTGGGAAGCTCTAAGGAGCAGAGGGGCTTATCGGATGCATTCATCCTGAGCCGTAACACCAATCTTGATGCAGCAGCTGCGGGAGACCTGTGCGTGAAAGATGCTGATGCCTTTGATCAGTGCACCTGACCGGGAACCTGAAGGATGCTCCCTGAGCAGTCAGAGCGAGCTGCAACTCCCGGAGGCCTGACTCCTCCAGACTGGAGTCCAGCAGTGAGTGGCAGATGGACTCGTAGAGCCACGGTGCATGGGGGACTCCAGGAAGTAGTATTTGAGGCCCAAGTCAGCAGCCCCCCAGGGAGCTACCCTAAGCGGCCTTGTACCCATGAGGACAGACAGACAGACTGGAGGGTTTGGGTCACAGAAAAATCAAAGCTGAGCAGCGCTCTGCCAGCCTCTGTGTTGATATAAATTGTCACACTTTTACAACAAGTCAGTCATGCAGGCACCTGATCCTGCGCCCCATTTTGTGAGTGGGGAAGCTATGACCCAGAGGTGTCCACGGACTGGTCCCAGGTCCCACAGGTGCTGCATTTGTGCACACAGTGAGTCAGAAATATAGTAGAACTCCTCAGCCATCGGGAACACTGAAACCACACACAGTACTGAACGCTATACTTACGGTGTGAACGCCTGTGACAACATTTAATTTAAAAATTAGACACAGTAGGGCCTGGCGCAGTAGCATAGTGGCTAAAGTCCTCGCCTTACACACACAGGATCCCATATGGGTGCCGATTCTAATCCCAGCAGCTCCGCTTCCCATCCTACTCCCTGCCTGGGGCCTGGGAAAGCAGTAGAGGACGGCCCAAAGCCCTGGGATCCTGCATGTGCATGGGAGACCCAGAAGAGGTTCCTGGCTCCTAGCTTCTGATTAGCTCAGCCTCAGCCATTGCGGCCACTTGGGGAGTGAGTCATTGGACAGAAGATCTTCCTCTTTGTCTCTCCTCCTCTCTGTGAATATCTACCTTTCCAGTAAAAATAAACAAATCTTTTTTTAAAAAATTAGGCACAGTAAGAGATTGGCATAATAATGGAGGTGGAGCCACTGCAGTGATATGTGGCAATAAGAACTGTGTGAATGCAGACTGAAAAAGATCTGTCATTTCACGTTTTCACTTCAAGGAAGCACTTTCATACTGAAGTCCCTCGGACGTAACCACAGTGGCAGCATCACTGTACCTTGGTGTCGCTCAGTAACCTCAGAGCTGCTTGCCCACAATCACTGCGATACCATGACTGTCAACCCAACAAGGAAAGTGACCACCCGGTGATTAAGGCGTGGCTGGGGCACATTACAGAGATGCACGTGACAGAGACATGGTCCAAGGCGTGCCTGGGTAGAGCCAATGTCAGACTTCTCCGGGCTGCTCTAAATGGTCTGTTCTTGGAAACTGATGAACTGTTCTTTCCTGGTGTTTTTTGAAACAACCCTCAACCATGAGTATGTGAAACTATGGAAAATGAAAACATAGATGGGAGATGTGAAGGGGCAGAGACATGGACTACAGGTGGCAAAGGGGAGCGGGGAGTGTCAGGCTTTGGTCAAATGCTGGCTGCAGCCTCTCCCTGTGACTGAGTGAGGCTAGGATGTGTGTGGGCATTGCTGCCCCAACAAGTAGACCCTGACCTGTGCAGGGCTTGACATAGTTAAGCTCCGTTCCTCTATTGCCACAGTTGGTGTGGTTCGAACCTCTCTTCCCCTGCCTCAGGCAGCTTCCCCTGTCAGAATGTGTGGCCTCCAGAGCCACTGTGACGAGGACCAAGGGATTCAAGCGAGGCATCTGGGTTTCGATCGCCTTGCACTGGACTTGAATGGCATCTGTCACTCCCACTTTGAGAACCACTGGCCAGAGGTCATCTCAGGATCTCATTCTAAGCACAAGGGAGGCTGGGAAATACTAGGATGCCTTGCATACTTAAGAGACACAAAGTGTCACTGTGCATGCTAATGCTTCTGTCTCCTATTTATCCCCTTGTAGGACCGAACCCCAGAACAGCCCCACGGCCCCCATCCAGGATGGGCCCTCCGAAAGGCTGGGTCAGCGCCTGGCCACGGAGGCCTTGGCCACCAACAGCTGGGAGAGAGACAAGGCCTGCCGGGACCTGGGTACTTCCAGGGCACGCAGGTGAGGTGCTATCCTTGTCCCCTGCTTGGCCCAGCGACGGCCTTCGTGAAGACGCGAAGGAAGAAGTGGAGTTTGCCTCTGCCACCGACTTCTCCCTCTCTTCTTTGTAACTGAACCATAAACCAAGGGCCCAGTCATTTATTTTTTTCTATGAGGCCCAGAGAGTAGCTCTCTTAGCTTTATGAAACAAAAAGTGTCTCCAGCAGAAGTTGAGGGGCGATGGAAAGAAGTGCGGGAGGAAGAGAGTGTGTGTATTTTTACAACATCATTCCCCCCCGCCCTGCCCCAACAGCCAAAAGGTACCTTAGATGGCTTGTATTCAACTCTAAATCCTACCAGGGACCCAAAGCAGAGAGCTCTCAGACAAACCCCTGTTTCTCTTTGGGCCTCTGTTTTCATAACTACAGCATGGAAATACCTACATCAAATTTTCAGGGACAGGGTGAGGGGGGACATTAGCCCAGGCTTGTTGACTTGCTGGCCGCAGGTGCACCACATAGTGAGGTCCCCGAAAACTGTTACTGGAAGTCTGGTGGGGCCAGGAGAGGTGGCCTGCTCCTGTGTTACTGACAGCTTTGCCCAGTCCACGCGTCTGGGTCCCTTCTATCAGTAACTGACTCTGACACTGGGAAAAAAAATTGCACTGTGGCGACAGTGATCATTGCAGGGCTAACCAAAGTCCTGATCATTATAACTCAGCCACGCGTTGTCCATCCCTCAGCAGCAGCGGGGGGCCTGATGACGGCCCCTCCTGGCAGTTCTGTCATTGTGCAGAAACACCTGCCCACGCCTGGGGATTCAGCCTGTGACATGCCCAGGCCACAGGGGATGGGACATGGGGAGAAGCAGGGTACGGGCGGAGGAGAGAGCAAATAGCCTACTGTCCTAGGACATGATGACTAAAACAGTGAGATTAAGTGCAAAGGGAGGAAGCTATGCAATGAAGGGCTGCCTCGAACCTGAGGCTGACCAGACTGCTGCCAGCACAACATAGCCCTTGGTTTCCAAATATCCAGGACACCTGATACATGAGAAGTGCCTAAATGTTTTATGATTACTACAGCAATGGCGTTGCGATGATGTTTTCCCAGTAAGGCTTACCTGGGTGGGCAGTTTACCACCCTGACTCCGTCTCCCTTTGCCATGGGGAAGTGTGTACCAAAGCCCCAGAAGCCTAACCCAGCTACAGGAGGAGTTGACTCCACTTCCTCCGTCCGCAGCCCTCTCATTTGAACTTAATTAAACAGGAAATAATTATTCCTGTAGCGCAGAGGTTTTTGAGGTTCTGCGGGGCGATATGAGATACGAATCTTGTGATTGAAGACCTTGGCAAATATACTTTGAATAATCAGCAGCCACTTGCTGTCCCTCCAACCTACTATGAAATTCCAGCAGGAACTACAGACACAGTGGAGCAGGGAAGGAGGAGGCTGAGCTGCCAATTAATTATTTAAAAAGCGATTTATTTACCAAGGTGAGCCGTTTGCAAATTCAATAATAAATCTATTAAGGAGTAGTTAACCTCTCTTAACTCTGTTTTAAATAATCAATTGGTGTTTGGGTAGCATACAGCGTCTGTCTCATTAGGCCGACATTAAGCCCTTATTAATCGGAAGTGTGACCGGATCAGCCATGGGATGGCAATTAGGGATTCGCCATCAGTCCGTGGTCCTTCAAGGAACAGGTGCCTTCCCTGGCTGTAGCAGCCCCAGCCGGGTGATGGGGGATAAAGGTCTCTAACACTCCACTCTTTGCTTCCCGCAGTGCCTCCCATGACAAAGACTTGACGCCACCACCTTCCTCCAGGGGCAAGAAGAAAAAGAAGAAATCCACTCGGAAGAAGAGAAGGAGGTGAGGGCTTCCGGGGGCGGTGAGGCTGTGCAGCTGGGAGAACGGACCGGACAGGGGAAGTGCAGGTTTCAGAGTCAGCCACATGACCCTCTCCGCCTCTGGACTAGACTGTGACCTTGGACAAGTGGCCACACCGCTCTGAGGGGGAGGGGGATCTCTGCCCCTTAAGGTTTTGTGAGGACTGGATGAGACATGGTTCTGGAAGCAGCTGGGTCGCTGTGCCAGGCACACGGGAAAGGGCTGGCTAACAGCATCATCTCAACCACAAATGTGGGATTTTTTTTTTTTCGAACACTCGTTCAAGTGTGATCTCTCATGCCCATTATCTGCCTCAGCCCTGACCAGAATCTTCCATGCAGACATTAATATATCTAGTTCAGAGACAGAAGAGAAAGGTCCGGGCAGGGGCCAACACAGCTGCACGTGTTGGGTCCCAGATGTTCCAGTCAGTTGCACCCAATCACCCCACTGTCAAGTTAAATAGTGGTCTTGGTCTCACCTGCCAGCCTGACTCTTTTGTATTGTATGCATTGTTTAAACTTTTAAAAGTTTTCCAGGCTTTCATAGGTTTCCTGGTTAGGCTGTGAATATCCATGATGAAAAGCATGCTTTGTGTTCCAACCCCAGGGAACACATCCAGAAGCTGAGACCCACGCCCAACCTCCAAGGTAGTGTTTTGCAGAAGCCTGCAGGGGGCAGCAGAGAGCAGCATCCGATGTCCTGGGCTTCAACTGCGACCTGGCTTCCTGGTCCCCCAATTAGCCCAGTTCTAAAAGGGTGAGCCTAGAGAGGACCTGGCAGGGAACAAGGCTGCAAACCCTGAGTGACAGCCATTATAGGGTAGGGAATGGAATTGGCTTCGGTTTCCCGATTTGAGGGTTGGACCAGAGAACATTGCCAAGGAGGAGCCTGCAGGCATAGGATTCCCTCATTCATTCATTGAACAAATATAGACCCATCAGGAACCTGGGCCGTGTGGGCACTGTGACTCCTCGGCCATCCCCCTCTGCAACTATGTTTTGTTGGACGTACAAGGAGGGAGCTTCCCTTCCCGTTTAATTGGAGGCCAATGTTTTAAAAAGATGGACATTGCCTGAAAATGTGGGTTTCTGGAAACCCAGGCCTGCACTCCCACACAAGCAGCAGCACCTCCTCCCTACTGCCCGGTCAGGCACCTGCTGCCCCCATCGGCATTGTCGGGGGGACGGGAGGCTCCCCCGGAGGGCACCACAGCCTGTGATCTGCTTCAGCTCTGGTGTTCTTTGGAACATACGAGGCTCAGAGTGAGCCACAATGTGTCAGAAATGATGCTGTGAGCGGCGGTCGAGGTCGCCTGAGTCTTGGGGTGCCTGTGTTTCTGAGGTCCCCTTGGGATGGCACCACCCATGTAAGGACCACCTGGCACGATGGTGTCTGGGACCTCGGGCCGACCAGAATGGTGCAGACACGATGCCCAAGGTGATTGAGGCTACAGCAGACAAAAGGGGCTGACCAGGAGCGCAGCTACGGCCCGGCGTCCTGCTGGCATCACAGAGCTCTTCATGTGAAGCCAGCTTCTCTGCCGGGCAGTCACTGCACCTCCCTGGTCCTCACGTGCCTGCTCTGAAAAGGGGAAGGGTGCAATTGTGCCTGCCCGAGAAGTGTGAGGGAGGGTTAGAGAATTTAAAGCACTCCCAGCACTGTTTAGAATGAACGCAAGCTGCTCACGGTATTGGTTTTTTTTCTTAAGATTTATTTTGTTCATTGGAAAGGCAGAGTGACAGGGAGAGATCTTGCGTCCGCTGGTTCACTCCCCTAAATGGCTGTCTTGGCTGGGACTGGGGCTGGCCAAAGCCTGGAGCTCCAGCTGGGCCTCCATGTGAGTGTCGGTGACCCGAGCAGCTGCGCCACCCTCCCGTGCTCTCCCAGCTGCCTCAGCAGGGAGCTGGAGCAGAAGCAGAGCAGCCAGCTCTGGAACTGGTATTCCAGCACAGGAGTGCCAACGTTAACCAGCTGCCCCACAACATCGGCCCCTCGCTCTATCCACATCATGCCTGGGGGTTGGCGGGAACGCGTGGAAGCCTCCCCCTGAAGGATCTCTCCCATGCCCTGCAGGTCCCCATCCTACAGCCCATCGCCCGTCAAGAAGAAGAAGAAAAGTTCCAAGAAGCATAAGCGCCGCAGGTACTGTCCTCCCCGCTGCAGACAGGGGGCGCCCCTGCGGTCCCCGGCAAGCACGCTGCGCCCCCGGTGTGACCAGGGATCTGTGCATTGTTAGTGTACAAGCCAGGACTCTGTCGGGAGGACCAGAGGCAGCCTAAGGCCGCCAGGAAGCTTGAGGGTGGAACCAGCCAGGCCCCGGGCCAGGGTCTGAGCAGCAGCCACAACCCACGCAGCAGCTGCGGCTGCCTCTGTCTCTAGACCCACACGCGGGGCCGAGGCTCCGCCCTGTTCTCATCCCTCCACATGTCAGTGAGGCCACAGAGACACACTCGCACTGTCTCGTACTCAGTGCCCCAAGAAAGGCCTCTCGCTGGCCCAGCTGTGTCTTGGGGTGGGTGGGATGCTTTGAAACGCACGGCCCTGGGAGTGTCTATGCTTGGGGAGCAAGGAAAGGATGGTGGTGAAAGGACATTTGGAACTGGATGTGCGACCCAAATGGTGTCTACTACACCATTTGTAGTAGGGGTGAGAAGAGACTAGAAGGATATATACTCAAGGGCTTGAGTGTGTGGTTCCTGAGCCAACTGCAATTTTTATTTCTTCTGTAGAGAAAAGCCCCATGCACTATCCCTCTCTTGTGCAATACCTGCCCCAGTCCAAGGCTAGGAGCTGGGCACTGAATCTGCTGGACCCACTTCCTCTCAGGGTCCGGAGCTGGGTGTCAGACCCAGATGGCAGACACAGGACGCAGCTGGCTCATCTAGTATTAACCAGTAGGCCAGTCACCCACCCCACAGGCCAAAATTTTTATAGTTGGACGATTTTACAATAGGAAAATGCAGCTTTCCAGGTCCTCGTCTTCATGGGGCTGGCTTTCCTGCAGGCAGCCGTCGGCTGGCACTGTGGAGTTGCCATGCCCTTGGACACAGTGAGCATGCCGGCTGGCCACAGGGCCTGGGCCCATCATTCACACGGCCAGCTTGTCTCCTGGAGGCAAGGCCCTTGAAGCCTCAGGTGTCACTTATCTTCTGCAGTTGGCTGAGGACACTAAGGGAAGAAAGGATTCTATCTTATTATTGGTTATCTGCGCCTTCCAGTCCGCCCACCTCACTTGTGGATTAATAGTGCAACTGAACAAGAACAAGACGTAAGGTTAAGAGGTCATCTGGGCTTTCCCTCTGCTACCTCAAGTCCAGCTGAAAGTTCCCCCAGCGCAGCTCGTCCCAAGTCAGGCGTTTGGTGCACCCTCCTAGTCACATTGCTAGAACGACTTCAGATGGATGCTGGTCCCACCTGCTCTTGGCTGTGGCTGGCTGGGGTGATAGGCTAAGGATAGTTCCTATCTTCTTGCATTGATTGATGCCAAGTTTATGCTTAACACAAGGTGTGGGCAAACCGGTGAGAGAGATGCATGTCACTTAGTGTCAGATATCTTTCTCCACAGGGGGAGTCCTTGTAGATGCCAAGGTCCACCCATGACTTGGGACTGGCAGCGTGGCACCCTGCTATGCCATGCAGCTCCTCCCCATCTGGGAACTGGAGTGGGGAAAGCAGAGACTCTGGTCTCTGCTGGATCCTGGGAGCTGGCTTCCCGTGCAAGGGACTGAGACAGGGCCTTGGCCAAGAGGGGAGGGAGCATGGCAGGTCCGTCCCCAGGGCTCACCTACTGAGCCCTGCCGCCTCTGGAGAGGCTCGGTTAATAAGGATTGACTGGAGGGGGGGGTTAGGGAAGTGTTGCTGAGGTGTTCTTCTCTTTTTTCTTTCTTTACTCTGCAAAGCTTCAGAGTTCTCCGACTTTGCTCAGTAAGTCAGCAGTGTTACAAGTGAGCAGAGAACTCAGTATGTGCCGTGAACGGGGATCGATCCTGGGCCCCAGAATCAGAAGCATGATTGAGATAAAATCCCCACCCTCAAATCGTACACATTCTAGTGGCGACCACGGAGGAGCCTGTACCCCAGGAAAGAGAAGCTCAGAGGTTTGCCCAGCGCATAGAGAGCAGAGGGGAGGTACCCCCAGGCCCGAGGGGACCCCTCAAATGCAGGGAGAGGGCGGCATCAAAGTGGGGCTCCAGGGACCAAGGAGGTTCACAGTCAGTGGGGCCAGGGTGGGGTCTGGTCAGTTTTAACCTGTTAATCCACACTGCACACCTTACAAACGTGTGTCTCTTCTGGAGAATGTGCAGAAGAAAACCACAGGGGATGCCTCATCCCAGGGTCCTGAACTCACCTGCGTCTATTCTTTCTCCTCCCTCTCTCCTTCCCTTCTTCCCTCCCTTCTCCCCATCTATTTCCTTTCCCCAGGTCATTCTCCAAGAAGAGAAGGCACAGGTAAGAATCTGGACCACCCGGGTCAGCCTCCCTGGATCCCCACTGCCACCCAAATCAGGGCCCGGCTTTTCGCCCTCCACCCCACGCCACTTACCATGTATGCCAAGCCAGCTCTCAGCTTCTCAATGGCCACATGGGAGTCCCGGCCCAGCCCGCGTGGTGGCACCTGCCTCTGCCAGTCTGCCTGCTTCACTTGCTGTTGAATTATCAGCCCCGTCACTCGTACCAGGTCCATGCTGAATGGGGCCAGGGAACTGATACCTGGCTGTAATTCATGATTAACGATAAAAATATGTCAGTCTTCTTCCAGGTGTGGACATATTTGATTAACCCCTAGCGTTAACCCCGGTTCCCGTTCTACTGACAGACTCCTAAGCTGAGTGAGTAGACAGGAGGGGAATGTCTACAGGTTAATCACATATATACCACAGGACCAGGACTGGTGATAATGTCTTCTCAAATAACAGCAGTTACATCTAAGCCACATTGCAGAAGACAAAACCTTCATCTGCTTCATCTGACTACCGGATGGCGGCCAGTGCCGTTCACGCTGAGCGTGGTCCCCTTTTGGGACTGAGGGAATTAGGTCTTTGCAAGGACAGGCCCCTTGCGCAATGTCCGACAGCAGCTGAGCACCCCAGGGCCAGGATTTGAACTGGAACCTTTTGGTGAGGTCCTGGGCTCTGCCATGGCCCTGCTGAGTCTTGGCAGGGTGCTGGTTTCTGCAGCCATGTTAAAGGGTGTGGTTTGAGCAGAATAAAATTAAGATCTGGGGTCCGTGTTGACCCTTGAAACCACCCTGACTAGAACCACCAAAGTGTAGCCACCCTTTCAGGCCTCTATTTGATTACAGTGGGACGCTGAGTCATCACCCCGTCCCACCCACACCTCTTCTGCGCCTTGAGAGACAGAAAGTCGGACAGAGGGTCCCCATCCGCTGGTGCACTGCCCTCCAGATGACCACAGTGGCCAGGCTGAAGCTGAGAGCTGGGAAGGTCAAATGCCAGCCCCTATTTATTTTTGCCTTCAACCACCTTGTTGTCAGTGACATCTTTTGGCTAATTGGCTGTTTCTTGTTTAGCTCCTCCAGCCCCAAAAGCAAAAGAAGGGAAGAGAAGAGGCACAAAAAACAGTAAGTGGATACCACCGAAGGGCACTCCTCGGAGTTGGGGGACGCAGCCTCTAACAGCTGGAGCAGTAGGGTGGCCACGGAAACGGGAGGAAAGGAGACAGCGGTCAGGCAGGTGGGAGATGAGGACGAAGGGGAGGGAGGAGAGCAAGGGCTGTGTACAGCTTAGATGTGCACGTGTGTGAAGGCGTGTATGAAAGTGTACAGATGTGTGCCTGGGGTCACATGTGTGCATGTTGCTTGCAGGTGTACACATCTGTATCGTGCACTCATGTACACTATGTATATTAATGTGTCCAGAGTGGTATACGTGATGCCTAACTGTATACCCACGGGTCATTTGTGTGAGCACGAACACGGACAGCCTCTGCGTGTCCGTGCCCAGGGGTGTGAACTCTGGGCACTCTATGTGGGTGTTGTTTAGGTCTCTGTGTGCATGACAAGTATGGGGGTTTTGTGCTGGGTTTTGCCCTGTGCATATGCTGTGAATGATCACGTATGTGCATATATTTGACTGTGCCCAGGCTGCTGGACTTATAGTATAGACACGCACCAGGGCTCCCTGCCCTATCTTGGGCCCCAGCTGTTTCATGGTTTATACTTGGTAGTAGAAATTCAAATCACCCAGCACTGCCTGCAGAGTTCAGTTCCCAGCCAAATTAAAAGTAAATTTGGTTACAACCCACCTACTTTAGACTCTGCAAATGGTAGAGCTTGTGTTTTTCTATCTAGCATTTTATCTCTCGCCAAGAGGCCTCCAAAGAGAAGATCAAACGCAAAGTGTGGAAGCTAGTCACCTGCGGGGGAGGGGAGAGAGGAGGCTGGCATGTAGAGGATGCCCGGCTCTGGTACCCACTAGGCTCTCATCGCCCAGTGTCTGCGATTCTTAGTTGCCGTGACATGGCTCTGGGAAGCACTCCGAAAGAAGGCAGTAGAGTCTTAACTTGCTCAGGGGAGAATCTGCCCCTCCCTCCCACCCTGAGAAAGCTGGTCCGGCTTCAGACAAGGGACAGTTCATGGCCGTGGGGACCGAGTGGGCTCTGACGCCTGGCCCAGCGTGTGTGTCAGACATGGCTACCTGGAGACAGTGGCATCATCGTCACCGCCCTTGCAAGGATTTCCACGGACTTGGAAGGCAGGCGAGCCTGAAGAGAAGCAGTTCAGAGCTGCTTGCACCTGCTGGGCCAGAACAGAAGATGCCAGACAGGGAAGTCAGAGAGTGAAGGCTGGGGTCAGGTCCTGAAGCAGCTAGGGGTGGAGTCACCATGAGGGCAGTGGGCTGCGAGCTGGCAGGGACGCGGAAGGATGTCCGATTCCCTGTTTGGGGACAATCCCACTGCCTCCTGGTAGAATCTGTAACTCCCACTGTCTCTCTGGGTTGGCCCAGGCTGTTCTTTGTCCTTCCTGCCCTTCCTGGGTGGTGACTGTTTGCTAGAGATGGCCGCCATCATTGAGAGTCACACTGTTTCTGGTGAGAGTTCCTGTAAACTACCTGAGGCCCATTGGGAAGGCTATCTGGCTCCATGCAAGAATCTGGGATTTATTTCCAGGCCTGAGGTCACCAACGGGCAGCCCACAGCCCTCAGGGACTCCACAAATGAGCTTTTCATTTGCCCCTCCAAATTTTTTTATGAGCTTGCATTTAAACTGGGAAAACTTTACATAAAAACCTCTATTTCTCCACTCTAAGGCATTAGGAGAGCCAGCATGGCCAGATAGTTGGGAGGCAAAGTGGGGGCCTCCCCTGCAAGCCCCCACCTTCAGGAACACCTGCCTGGCCCCTTAGGCTGGGGGGTGTGGCATGGAAACCCCTGAAGGCCCATTCTGGAAGCTGGGATGTTGGCAGGAGTGGAGAAGGATACCTAACTCCGGGAGGGGTGCACAGCGAGGGTGACTTGGGTGCAGAGGACTGCGTGTGTCATGAGGTCAACTCTCTCTTTCCTCCCCCCTAACCTGCCACTCCTTGAACTCACCAACCACTCTTCAACCCCTGAAGATCCCGAAGCCGGCCCCGAAAGTCTCAGCGCCACCGCCGCCCGCGCTGCACCTCCAGGTCCCAGAGCTCCGAGTCCCGCTCCGCAAGCTGCAACAGCAGGTAACACTCCACGCTCTGGGTCGTGGTGTGCACTGTGGCCTCCGGCACCATAGCAGTACCACTCTTTGCCCTGTTGCAAGAGGAGCAGACTGAGGCTTGGAGGGACTGTGGCATGGGGCTAGTCGCTTAGCAACTAGATGACAGAACTAGGCTGGGGACCAGAGAGGGTAGCTCAGGTCTCTGTAGTCTTACCTTGGGCTGCTGTGAGCACAGAGAAGCTGAGCAGGCTGGGAAAGACTGCACAGCACCAAGTACTAAGTGCCGAGGCCCTGCTGCCTCTGCTCTCTGCTAGCCTGAGCTGCCTCCGTGATGGTGCAGGGGCTGCCCCCAGACTGGAATGGCAAAGAGGGAGGAGGACTCAGGCTACACTGCTGTTGGTGTCCAGTGGGCGCTCCAAGGCCAGCTCCTGGTGTCAGGCGCTGCTATTCTTGTTTGCAGGCGCCTCCCACACCTGAGTGCCCATCAATTGGGCAGATTTAATACGCCCACCACCTGGTGATGGGACGTGCACCACCCATGGGTGGCACCTGGGGGACAGTGCCCCGTCCTCTCTCCTGAGCCAGCTTTGGTGCTCCTGCCCACACCAACAACTGTTCAAGAGCATCACCACAACACCAGGCCACCCCGTGACCTGACAAACGGAGGTGTGGCCAGAGCCTTCCCCGCTATGGTCTGAGTTCTGGGGAAGGCAGAAGTTTGTCCACAACACCAGGGTGACCAGAGACCTGTCTCCCCGCTCCAGCAGCCGCAGCCTCGGCCTTGCCCTGCCTCCTTTCTAGACCCACCCTTCAGCTGTCCCTCACTTGCAACAGCGTCTGGGACAGAACAGTATGTCGCTGTGCTGCGAGGGGCAACACACATGCCTGTCCCACCACAGGCTTGCTCCTGGTAGCCTCTCCCTGACCAGCACTGTCCCACTGAGCCAAACTGCCCCCTGATTGATTACAGTTGGGAAGCCACCGGCAGAGGGAGGACAGGCACTTGGTTTCCTTGTGATCAGCCTGGGCCAGAGGACCCTGCAGGGCCTCCCCAGCTTACCTGCTAGAGAAGTGGGTTGGCCTCACAGCCACTGGCCCAGGCCTCCTGATGGGCCCCCGTCTCTTGGCGCTGTCACTCTCTGAGGTCACCAGTGCCTGTTTTAGGCTGAATGACTGGACCTGCAGGAGGTATGAGGGGGCAACACACACACACAGCCACAGAGGAACGATGATTGGGAGGTCCGAGCAGAGAGGGACACTCCAGGGCAGGAAGCAGAGGCACAGGCTCCTAGAAGGGCAGAAAATCTCCCTGGGCTCAGCTGCTTTCAAGCTGGGTAACCTCAGGCAGTCTCAACATCACCAGGCCTCAGCTCCTTCATCCGTCCCACAGTAGAAGGAGTCTTGGCCTGCCTGTGTCTCCAAGGTGCAGAGGGCTTTGAAAGGGAGACATAAGTGCCGTGCAAACCTTGAAGGATTGTGTTCATTGACAATACAAGTGTGGTTGTGCCCCACTGAATGACTGGGGTACCTTCGAGAAAATGCATCGTTTGGTGATTGTCATGGTGGGCAGTTGTGGGTGCAGATGGGCCTAGGTGATAGGAGTCATTCACCCAGTAGATCCTCTCGGGTGAACACAAGCTGTCGGAGGCAGCACATGCAGTTTACAGTAAGCTTTCTGGGAGTGAAAGGAATGCTGCCTCCAACAGCGATGTGACGTACAGCGTGGTAACTTTCCAGACTAGCAATGCAGCCGTCATCCTCACCGTCACCTGTCAGGCCTAGACTCACAAGTGCTATCCTCTTAGATTAGCACAGCACTCGGGAGCTAACTCCCATCAGCATCCCATGATGCATGAGTCACATACTGCCCTGTGATGCTACAGCGTCGCCAGGCAATGGGCAAGTTTCAGCTACATCAAAGTCTTACCATTGACTGAGAAACACTGTCACTCAAAAAAAAAAAACCTGGATACCCAGCCTTGCAGTGAGATGTGTCTCCGGTTTGTTCTACTAACAAGGCAGCCCAATCTAGTCCCAACAAACCTGCCTTCTGTCTTTTGTCTCCCCAAAAGTTTCAGGTGACAGTAGGGTGTGTGTGCCTCACAGATAGTAAAGTTACATGCACAGATACACAGCCATGTATTGTCAAGGCACATGGACACACCCAAACACGCCCATGGTTATGTGACAGTTGGTCACACAGAGGATGTTAAACCAGCGAAGAGGCCTTCCTGGTTTTTATAGTTGTAATGGGGCAGTAGCTGCAATAACAGGCCCCAGGTACATAAAAATGAAGAAATGAGTAAATGGATCAAACATGAGTGGGTGTGGGTGATTGGACAGTTGACTGGCCGGTTGGCTAGATGAATGGATGCACTAGTGGGTAAAGACAGAGGTGGATGAAAGATCAGCTTTCATATACACAGAGGTCTACCAAGAACACACACAGATGCTCTCAGAGATCCTACTGGCCCTCCCTTGGTCCCTGCTGGTCCCTCCGCACCTCTGCGCAATTCTTCCTTCACCAGACCCTCAGGACTCTCTCTCCTGCCCCTAGGCACCGAGGCCGGTCCCCTGAAGAAGGGCGTAAGTCTCACCGCAGGCACTCCCGCCGCTGCACCAGGAGCCTCTGCAAGGCCAGCCCGGAGCCCCAGGCCAGCCAGCCACCCAGCCAGCCTCTGCAGGTGCTCGGCTTCCTGTCGGCCAGGGCTATAGTAAGTATTAACGCACAGACTCCTCTGCCAGCCTTGGCCGCAACACCTGGGGGAGGTGGAAGCACAAGTTCAGAGCAGTGTATGATATGTTTGAACTCAGTTTGGGAGGAAAAAAAAATCCCACTGGCTCTAAACCTCATTACTGATTAGCCCAATGGCCATTCACCAACCTTTGGCAGTATTCGACTTGGCGTAGGGTACGGGGGTGTACTTGGGGAGGGGACCGAGAGAGAAAAATGAAGTGAGGGTCTTTTATCCAAGGAATTGTTGGTAAACGAATCCAGGCCTCCAGCGTGACTTGTGCCAGGGTGTAATGTGAGACATGCCGGCAGGGGTCTGCACAGGCAGGAAAAGCAAGGGGCTTGGGTGTAACAGACACTCTCCTGCTCTACCACCTGCCAGCTGGTGGGCAGCCAGGGTGGCACCTAGAATTTGATTCTACCCATAACCCTGACCTTGATTGTGCCTGGGAATTTTCCTTTGAGGAGTTGATAGCACCTGACCTGTATCCTCTCGGGGAGTTGGGGGAGATGGAGCCGTCCCAGTCTCTTGCACAAACGGGACAGGAAAATGAAGGCTCGGAGTGGTGAAGGGCAGGGATGAAGCGGCCCCAAGGCAAGAGCAAATCCCACCAGGGAAACAGGCTGAGCAGATGTGTGTGACACTCCCCACCCGTCCTCCCACTCCTGGGTCAGCAAAGACGTGCTAGACCTTGACCAGTCTGTGAGACACCCTGAGCAAGACATTAAGCTATGTGGCTTTGCGCAAACCACTTAACCTCAGCTTTCTCCCTGGTGAGCTTGAAGTCATCCTCTTCCACCTGTCAGAAATATATGGTAACACAGAGTACGGGAAGGTCTTTTAGAAATGCTGAAGGGGCAGGTAGACCAGAAGAGAGTTCAAATTAAGAGTTAAAATTGCAATGGTACCCGACTGCTCTGAAGGGACCTGCCTCCCCTGGCTCTATGTGCGCCTCAGCATTGTAAGAGGTGACTCCCATCACTTTGCTTCCTAAGAGGTGCTGGGAGGGAGGGCAGCGAAGAGACAGCAATGGCAAGCAAAAGCATGAGTCCTGCTGGACACCATAGTCCTCTGCAGTGTATCTTGGGAAATTCTTCACCCATCAGGGTATCTGGTATCACCAAACTCTAATTCTGCCCAAACCTGTCTTTGTGTAGCCATCTACCACTCTTCCCCAGATGTCTGGGTCACTGAGTACGTATAAGCCACAAACCTCAAGTGTCCTGAGACGCAGTCTTCCCAGCGTGGTAGGGGTCTGGAGGCTTGGCTGTATCTCTGCCAGTGCCTGCTTCCTCAAGTGGGCAATGGGCGCAGTCTCCAAGGGCACTGTGGGAAAGAGAAAATGAATGTACAGTATGAACAAGAGGAGGAAACTCGGCAAAGGCTGCTCAGCATGCCTGCTTGTGGTGTTTACAGCGACCCCTCTGGAGACCCCACCTGACCCTTGTTCAAAATTGCCATTGGGAGTAACTACCTCACACTTTCCTACTGATGCTTTCCTAACAAGGTTGTGTCTGTGAACAATGTTGCAGAGATCTGAGCCTTTCCCCCCACGTGGGCTAGTGATGTCATCAGACTGGCTACTGGCCACTTTCTTTCCTAAAGTACACAGGTTCCTGGTGGCTTTGGGGTGGGAAGCCTCGATGGCCCTCAGGAGCCCGGCTCCGATCCCAAGGGCTAAGAGCCAGAACGTCCCTGTGCAGGCGAGGCCTTCAGAGCTCCCCTGCCACGATTCTCTGCTGATCTGGGGAAAGCGAGACAGAGAAATGACTCATGGGCTCTAGCAAGGCAGTGAAGACATGGGGTTGTGATTTTGTGATCAAATCCTGGCTCCAAGAAAGGAGTAGTCACTTACCCATTTTTGCTGTAGTTCCTAATATACATCTATATACATAGTTATATATGCCTAATAATATATTAAAAATTGCAAATAATAACAGTCTCTTCCAAAGACAGCTGTTGAGCCAAGCACTTGGGCCAGGAGCAAAACTCAGCAAAATATTAGAGTTACGGTAACATTTCAGACACCGACTGCGCTTCCGGCCTTGAAGCCTTGAGCAAGTTCAGGAAACTTTCTGTGTCTGTTTGCTCAAAATGTGCCCAATGAGAATAGTGAGACGGACCTTATGGGGTCACCATGAGCATTCAATGGTGTCATCTAAGGGAAAGCCTGAGAACGCACTGGGTAAGTGGTGATGCTACACAGTGAATGCTGCTGGTCTGGGTAGTGACGCAGTGGAATAATGGATAAAGCGGTGCAAGTCATCGCAGCAGTAAGAGCGTGGGACTAGTCGTCGTTGCAGCCATGATAGAAGACTTGTAGATGCACACTAGTCAGGAGTTAAGCCTGCAGCAGATGCAGAACCCCTACTCCAAGGTCAGTTTTTCTCTTTCTTCAGTGTAGTCCCAATGGTTGTCCCATCACACGCAAAGTTACCCAGTTCCTGGGGGCATCAGGCGCCTCCCAAACCTTGCCTTCTGGGTGACTCCCCTACTTGACCCTCTATCTGCCCTCTTACCAAGGCAGAGACCGGAGAAGTTTCTGTATTGGAACAAAGACCCAAGGTTTTGCTATGGAAGATAACTTTTGAGGTGCTCTGACTCACCCCTTGCAAGTGTCCATGGAGGTCTATGGCATCCATTGAGCGCCTAGAGGGATTCAGGTTCTGACTCAGCTCAGAGTCCGATGAATACGAACCTTCAAAGGAGGAGAAGGGAACCAGAGAAATTGGAAATGTTTAAAGACACGCCACAATAACTGATGCCCAGTTGGGGGTAGAATGTTAGCTGGCAGGGAAAGGGTTAAGGCTAAGTAACAGTTACTGGCACAACTAAGGGGAAATGAGAGTAAGAGAAAAGGGGTAGACGGCCCTCTGAAAGAACCGAATCTTGAGGATGGAGGGCCTCCTGCGCCGCGGCTCCTGCCACCCCTCCATCCCAGGTGTAGCTCTTTAGAAAGTCAGGGCTTGTGTGCATGACATCAAGAGGCTCATCTGCATATATGAATATGGAAATTACAGGGTTGAATCTTAGTGGAAACCATTGTTGGTAACTGACCTGAGGTGCCCTGGCTGGCTGGGTCAGAGCCCAGATGCAAGCTGAGATCCCACGGAGACAGCCTGGAGACCCTCCCGTCCCACTCACGGTCTTTACCTTGGCGCCAGCATCTCCGATCCAGGCGCTGGTGAGACAGACCCCAAAGCATTCCTCCGAGTTCTGCAAGCCCACCTGCTGGTCACCAGAATGCTGCAAAACAGCTGCAAAACAGTGACAGGGGTGTGGTTAGGGTGACACCAGTGCTGCTTCTGGTGGCTAAATATCCAAACATGGCCACTTCACTATTAAACAGTCCCAGCCGCCCCAGGACCCCAGCCCCTGTCATCTCCTCCCCTGGTGCTTTATAGACAGTCTCACCATCCAGCAAATAAAATAAATAAAATCCAGCCTTGTTCAGAGTCAAGGCCAGTGTGACATCTGGTAGGGCAGCACCCACACCAAGCTAGTGACTAAACATCTGGAGTAATGTCCATGGCCAGGATGGAGGTCCGTCCCAGGTACTGTGAGGCTCTGCCGAAGAGCCAGGCGGTGCGAAAAAAACAGCCGAGCTGGGCTCTGAAGGAGGTTTTGGAGCTCCTTAGGTTTGAGATCATTGACAGGTAGAAGAAGGAGAGGGGAAATGTCAGGGCACAGCCAGGAAGTGTCACAGCTTTGCCAGTTTTTAAGACACAAAACAAGTTTTTGAGGTGGGTTCCGTTGTTGTCACCTTTTTATCAGATGGTAAAGCCGAGGTGAAGTGGCCTGGGAGGGTGTCCAGACTTCACGGAGAGGGAAGGGGGTGGAAGTTGGAGCTCGCACCTAGGAGGTTTACTCTGAGAGCCAGCGTAGAGGCTGGGGGCCTCAAGACCTGGCCAGGCCCTTTCGGGGTTGTATGGGTTCCCCAGCAAGGCTATCAGAGCTGGGGAGGGCATCTAGACCTTGGTGGGTGCGGGGTGGGGGAAGGAGCTCCAGCCAGGGCCAATGGGAGCCACGTGCCCTCGGCCGACAGGAGCCTGCAGAGACGCCGTAACAGAGCTTGGAGGCCTTCGATGAGAGCCCTAGGAGATGTCAGAACTGCAGTCATTAAGCCACGGGCTTTTGGGGATGGCGCTGGGGACTCTGGGTGACAGCACTGGTACTCACATATCACCTAAGCTCATTTATTCATTCATGTTTTAAATAGTAGCCCTTCGGGGCTAGGGGGGTATAGATTCTGCTAATATCCCCAGTTTTAAAGTGAGGAAATTACAGCCTGGGGAAATCAAGAGAAAGACACTAAATGGAGAAGCTAGGATTTGCCCCCAAAAAGCCTGAGTTCAGTGTCTGCATCCTTGCCTGTATCTTGGGTTGATCATCACACCTACATGTAAAGTCACTAGGAAGATGCAATGAGATGAAGCATACATCCAACATGAAAACAATCTACCAGATACCCACCATGTGCCAGGCACAGTGCCAGCCACAAGCACACGCAATCTGTGGTGTCCTGCAGCTTTTATTCTGTGGAAGGCGCTTATCCCAGTACTCAGGACGGTAACATTCATTAGGCAACAGTGACCAACATTGTCATTTGATAACAGCAGTTTGGGTTTTTTTTTTTTTAACTGATTCTAAGTCACACCAGGTAGGATGTTGTAGAGTATTTGTGAGCTCAGGAAAGATGGGGGTGAGGGGAGGGAGGCAGGATGAGGTGTGGCTTCCCATTTTGTCCACCGATAGAATGAAGCTGAAAGAGGAGAGAATGCACGGGTGGTCCTGACATGGGTCACACAGTGCCCACTCTTGCTCACTGGTTGTATATGATGCATCTCACGGCATGCAGTGAAGTGTGAGAGCAGGGGAGGGAACAGACTTGAGGACCTTGGGGACCAGTTTATATTTCATTAGTTATTTCTAATGGAAAGTGACAGTATTGGTGATGTTGACTGAGTTAGAACAGAAGA